TATGAGGGTAAAGACAAGATCCTTAGATACACAAAGCAAGCACCAACCAAATCACGCTTCGGAAGAGGTGGTGGTTTTTACATACTTCGGCAGCATCATTGGTAAACAAGTAAGGTCTGGTGCACATACAAAGATATGGTTTGGCGAAGCAAGGCCAGCATCTCTACAACAGAATAAATAAATGTCAGCCAACATTAAACTAATAAATTTCAATACAAACGTTTTATGGTGCTGAAACTTCGTGAACTACCAACATTATCATTCAAAAGATACAGGTAGTTATAAACAGCTGTCTGTGCAAGAAACTCTGGATCTGTTTAACAGACACCGTCAGCAATAGTCGACTTTGGCAGAGAACAAGGCAGCTTCCAGCTGAGGTGGAAACTCGGGAAAAACGCTGGAAGTGGATAGAATAAGCGTTGAAATCATCAAACTAGGTTAAAAAGTAAATTCTAACATGGAATCCCCACAGCAAAAGGTAGAGTCAGTCAGTCAGTCAGATGCAACGTAGAACTTCGTACGTAAGTACATCAGTTCATGTCGCCATACCACATCAGCACAGAGATATAATTGTCAATTCAAATCCAATAGTAGAAGAGGTAGTAAAGGTATTAGAAGTAATCAGAGAGGTTAGGATTAGAAGATATTATTCAAGAAGTATGATTCAGTGAGATAAGCTTAGAAAGAAAAAACTAGAGGTGTTGAAGAATCCAGAAGATTAGGATTTCAGAGAACACAAAAAATAAATGCACCGGCGCCATTGCGAACGGTTTTGAGCCATGTCATTCAGGGTCTCTAACCATCGATTATTATCATCTCGCGGACTCCAACCAGGTAGTCGACAATTACCGACATGGCTAAGTCCACTTGTCAATGACTTCATGGATTTCTGCCATGTTTTGATTTGGCCGCCCCTAACTTTCTTCCAACCTATTCCTACACTTCAAAACAAAGCTCGACGAGGCAGTCGGTAGTTGGGCATACGCAACACATGTCCCAACCACCTCAACTGATGAAGTTTCACCACTTCATCTATTGATCTGCCATTCTTACCTAGCACCCGTTTCCTAATAACAGCGTTGCTCACTCGGTTGTCCCAGGATATACGAGCAATGCTTCGAAGACACCTATGATTGAAAACCAGTGACCTACGAATATCTTCTACTCTCACTGGCCATGGTTCACAGCCATAAAGTAAGAAGGAGCGAACTGCTGCACAGTACACTCGTCCTTTAGTCAGCAAACGGATATCTCGCCTTCGCCATAAGTGACGCAGGTTGGCAAAAGCCAATCGAGCCTTCTGTATCCGGGCTGAGATTTCGTCAGTCACCAGGCCATCGGCACTGATGAGACTCCCCAGATAAGTGAAGCGGTCTACACGTTCGACTACTTCACTCCCTATCACTAGATCAGGTGCCGATGAAACCCAATCTTGAAGCAACATTTTGCATTTCGAGGGGGAAAACAGCATCCCGAACATGCTTGCATTGTTGCTTAGGGTGGTCAGAAGACTCTGCATTTTGTCAGCATCTTCACCAAGTAGGACTATGTCATCGGCATATTCTAAGTCAATAAGCGAGCCACCTGGTAGAAGGTCTACTCCTGAAAACTCAGACGAGAATAAGGTTATTTCTAGGAGCATGTCTATGATAAAATTAAACAAGAATGGAGAAAGTGGACATCCCTTACGGACACCACTTGAAGTAATCAATTCCGTTGACAGTTTGCCATAAGCTCTCACTCGACCAGTGGTCTTCGAGTAGAAAGCTTGTATGAGGTTAATGTAATTCTCTGGTACACCTTTCAATGACAGACACTGCCACAGAACCTCACGATCAACAGAGTCAAAAGCCGCTTTTAGGTCCAGAAACACAGCTGTTGTAGGACGTCTAAAAGTGTGTCTATGTTCCAGGACCTGTCGTAGTGTGAAGATGTGGTCTATACAGCCACGTCCAGGTCGAAAACCAGCCTGGTTTTCTCTAGTCTTCTCTTCACGAGCTTTCGTTAGGCGTCGAAGTATTATTGAGGCCAATATTTTAGATACTATATTAGTTAGACTGATTCCCCAGTGATTGTCACAACAGGACTTTTGTCCTTTCTTTTAGATTGGGACAATCAGTGATTGAGACCAGTCGGATGGGATTACGTCCAGTTCCCAGATTCTACCTAAGATCTCAGTCAACCTAGCTGCTAAAACTGGACCACCGTCCTTGAATATCTCAGGGGTCAGTCTATCAGGACCTGCAGCTCGTCCTCGCTTCAGATTTCCTAATGCTTTCTCAACGTCATTAAGACTAGGCGGACTTAAATCCATTTGCCATTCAGCATGACTGGAGATCGTGGGTAACCGAAGAGTGGCTCGAGGATGGTTGAACTGATCCCTAAAGTGTTCTGCCCATCGATCCAGTCTCCTGGATTGAGAACAAACAGTAGTCCCGTCATTTTCTGAGATAGTCTCACTTTCACTAGGATTCCTAATACCAGTTTCCTTGATAAGCCGGAAAAGTTGTCTACTGTTGCCGATCGCGTCTGCCTTTCCCATCGCTTTTGCTTTCGCCACCCACCACTGTTCGCGGTCGTTACGTAGGCTTTGTATAAGTCTGCGCCTAAGTTGACTTCGTTCTTCATCATGTTCAGAGCCAGGTGTGATGAGTTTTCGGGCATCCATCAGATCGGTGGATGCTACTGAGATCCACGGCTTCATTCTAGCCTTATAGTCAACCTTACTAGCAGATATCACTCCTGTTTCCACAGCCTTTTTGACATCATTCCATCCTGCTTCCAGATGGCAATCGCTTATATGGTTGCCTAACTGTCTTTCTAGTTGTTCCTGAAATATATTCTTCGCCTTATTATCATTAAGTAAAACCCTGAGGCTTTCTTACGGCGTCTTTCCTACTCCCAGTAAGCTTCAAACAAATACGCGCTCGCACTAGGGCATGATCTGAATCCAAACATGTGACCCACAACGAGCGACAGTCTTCTATCGAACCCCTCAATCGGTGGCTGATGGCGATGTGATGAACGCTGAGACGACTTTGGAGGTCGCCAGGTCAACAGATGCTTTTCCTTATGCCTAAAGTTAGTGTTTGCTAAGAATAGGCGGTTGTCTGAGCATACTTGCAACAGACGGTCACCATTGTCTGTTCTCTGAGCCGCGACACCATAACATCCACCTAGGTGTCTCTGCTCTATCTATAATTACTCGAGTTAAATGTTGTCTTACTTTGTGAATTCACAACGGATTTTTATGAGACGTTTCTTCTTATGCCAATTTAGTGACTAAAGACAAATGTTTTCGCACATAAAATCATCATCATCAACAGCTACGTAGAACTTTGCACGTAATTACAGCGGTCTTAGAGACCTGAGAGCGTGACCACAGAGTCCAAGGGACAACTGCTTGAGGCCGGTCACGCACGGCCTTTTTACGAAAGGTTTTTTGAGTATTAGCTCCGCTCTTAAAAGCCCTTAGTGGGCACCCTTACCCAAGGAGACGGAAATCCGTGAGGTAGGGTGAGGTATGACATTTTTAGGGTCGACCTTTTCTAACCCTTCCTTCCTTGTCAGAAGGCAGCATCGCTGCAGATGCTGACTGACCGAGCGAAACACCTTACTGCTGTCACACCTCTCTGCAGTCAGCAGTACGACTTCGCCCTCAGACCTTGGGTAGCTGCTTTTAGTCTCATCGTTCTCCAATCGACCAGCCTGGCATGGTAGGACCTGCAGGAACATATGTTCCAGCCCACATAGCTCGGTTGGGTCATCACGATAGGCAAGCCCGACCACCACGTCAAGGTAGCAGCTACAGTCGGGCAAAAGGTAGATGTGGAGCAAAGAACATACTGTGATAGCAACTTTATCCAGTGAACTTCAGGCTCAAAACTTAGTACACCTGATTCGATTCGGGTGGTTTAGTGATGATTATACCTCATTTGAAGAGTAACTATGACACTGAATTTATGCTGACACAACGATTGTGATGAAAACGTAAAAAAAAGTCACGCCATACTGTGAAAAACTCAACAATTATTCATTTTAATCTTTGTAACTTAGTAACTTAGTTCACTTTCGTGCATTCGAGTTTGAAACAGCCATCTTATTTTAGGGTTAGAGATACTATCCATCCCTTAAAACGGAATAGAGTGAGCGGAATTCAAAATTGTGAGCAGTGACTTAATGGTAAAAACAGTTGGTTTAAAACAATTAGGTCTTAAGTATGTATAACCACCAAATGCCCTGGTACAGTAAACAGTGGGGAGAGTCCTCTCTCTCTCAAAACGCTCTCACATGGCCATACGTAAATAGTTACTTCTAGGGAAGTCCTACTAACTGCCTTCTTATGGCAGGGGTATTGGTTACGAAACTGAGAGGATAAGAAGCGAATGCCCGGTGCCTAAACCAGATTGATGGATACAAAAGATCAAACTAAGGGAATCAGGAAGTCCTTTTACTCCAAACCAGTGGTGCTCATGGTTTCCATGATCCGGAAGGAACAAGTGGCGTATGAACTTATAGTTGGTCACCGTCTAGTATGAGACTACATCTCCCAACGTTGCCCTACAGCCTTGTTGGTTAGATTTTTAGGTCAAAGGCTCAGGTATCAGCTCTGCTTCGGTTTGGGTGCCCAACCAGTATCCCAGCTCGTTCACAAATTCAATTATCTGTTTAACGCACAAATATTTAAATGCTTCTTTGTACCAATGTTTATGTGTTTAAATAAATAATAAAAGTATTTCGGTTTTGTTATTGTGGCAGAATTAATACCTCTCATTTATAAAATACAACTTGAAGCTAGGAATATGAAATTGTACTCAATTACTTGGTTTAAAAATAATTTCAATTTTAGCATTAAACATAGAGACTACAAGTTAAGTGAAGACTTCGTACTGCTCGATTGACAGAAAGCTGTGAATTAGTTCTGTGACATTATTACAATCTCCGAATACTCGAAATATATGACACATATTTTCATACAACTGACATAATGCTTCACTTACTTTTGTAACAAATCATGAGCTTCAACATAAATATTTTCAGCTTCAACAGCGAATAATTTGGAATTGAATGAGGGTTCATATGACCGAATTAGCATCAAATCCTTATAATTCTTCCCCTTACTAAGGAGATTGTCTTTTAAAGATGTCAGTCTCTAAAAGCAAGAACAGAGCACATTATAAAAATAACGAAAATATAACAGCTACCTTTGGGGACAATAATGAAGTTTGATAATCTCCATCAGGAGGAACATACGGATTGAATATACCTCCTGCGAAAAATGGAAACATTAAACAGAAAATAGAATAAAGTTAACAGGAAGTATTAAGATTTTAATGAACAAACGTCTATTAGGTATACTGATAGTTACTTGGGTAAGATGAGTATAAATGTTTTCAACCAGTTAACAGTAGACTACATAGACTGTTTCATTTAAATAAAATCAAAAATATCATTTTTGCACATAAATACTTGGTCACAATCAAATGTTTCCTACACCTCTTAATAACTCTTTTATCTCCACGACTAACCCTTTCTTCATTCCTTTGTCACCTCGTGCGTCTGATGTAAACGTTTCGAGTTCTAAAAATATAATTCCTGGTCTCCTGAACCAAATTTCGAGTCTACAGTGGGTAAAAAACTACGTGTATGCAATAGGGCCAGTAAAAAGCGATGATATTCGTAGATCACTAGTATTCCATCCTCGGCATCTTCGATGCATTGCTCGTATACCCTCGGACAACTGAGTACGTAATGTAGTTAGGAAACGAATTCTAGGTAAGGAAGGCAAATTAATTGATGGAGTAGTGAGTCTTTATCAGTTGAGTTGGTTGGGACATGTGTCACGCATGCTCAACCACCGAATCCCTCGACGAATGATGTCTGATGTACTGGTAGGTTGGAAGAAAGCCGGGGGTGATCAAAACAAAGTATGGCTGAAACCCATGGAGTCATTGACAACTGGACTGAGCCATGTTGGTAAGCGTAGACTAACTGGTTGGGGTCCGCGAAACGACAGTAACCGATGGTTAGAGACTTTGAATGACAGGGCTGAAAACTGTTTGCAATGGTACAGGTGCATCCATTCTTTGTCTTCCCTCAAATTCTAATCTTCTGAATTGCTCATGATGTTTTTCCTTTTTTTCAATTTATTTCACTGGTTTGTACTTCTCAAATCATATCTGCGAACCCTAATCTCTCTTACCTAACCATGCTCAAATACAGTCAACATTTGATAAATTGATGATAAAAATTAAATAACCTCCTGATTAATAATCTGAAAATAGTTTGGATTCTACAAAAGCGCAACACCACCATAAGCTTGACGGGTTAAGTGTTACAAAGGAGTGATTACGTAACCTTGCAAATAAATTATATTTTTCAATTGTAACAGTCTAATCTCATGATATAAATTACGTTCAAGGAAAACATTACTAACTGATAGTGTCAACTGCTACTCGGTTTAACTTATTCAAAATATACCGATTAATCACTGTAAATAGACCATACGAAAATCAGTGCATTCTGACATAATGTTCAACATATTTTTGATGTTAAAGGAATTTTTATCCATCTAGGCTATTTTCTTTGCCCGTAACCTTTTCACCATTACTGTGCCATTATAAAATTTAGGAACATTCTACTATGTGTGCAAACGTATAAAGTAAATCGGGGTTAAGTGAATTAAAAAATGGTTAGTACACGAGACAATTTATAATAAGTTGAGCGAATGGAAAGTCATAAGTCTATTATATGAAAGGAAAAACAACTACCTGTATGCCCAATATTTATTGGACGATCTTGAAAAATTAGAGGAGGTAACATTCCATTTCTACGTAACCTCCTTCGCATATCCGATACGCCTTCATGCTCACTAACTCTATTACTGCTGGGATCAACTGGTGAATCCCATGGTTGCATCTGACGGATGAGTCTGAATTTAGGCACCCACGGTTTATCCCTTATGAATCTGACATTACTGCGAAACTCGGGAATATATTTATGATTGAAGACAGTGACACTCCTCCACCTTTAAAAATAGACTGGTCAGGAAATATACATTTACCACATAATCCAATGTCTGGAAGTAAGAATACACTACAACTATAAATGTAATAAAACTTGCATTATTTAGATTACCTGGTATTATTATTCTTTGTTGTATCTTAATTATTATTGAAATTCATAAAAGTTCCTTTTCAGCCTTTATATATCATTTGTTCATAACTGCGGAAAATCTAGGGGAATTTTAAACCGATAAAGAGTTTCTAAGATTGAGCCTAAAAGAATGACAGAACTGCAGTGTTTATTTACAAAGTATTTAAGGCGAGTATCCTAATAAAATTAAGACGTATGTTAATTAAAATCATGTGATATTGATTTTTTAGGCTATTAAGAATCCAATTTCGATCGCGCGATGCTTTTAATAGGTAACCACTAAGCTTAACCACGGACTTTACTTGGCTTGACGTTTCTGATCAAAAGCATTCCGCAAGTTTTGCGATGTCATTTAGGTGCTCATATGCACTAATCAAACGAGTACAATGACAATGACAATTGTAGTGTTAATGAAAACAGTATGAAAGGACAATAATTAATCCATACTAGAAGCTTAAAACATACTAATTTCAGACAGCATTTACTTAATAGGTACGTTTTATGTACTAAGACTGATAATTACAAACCTGAATAAGCAAACGGTACCGATAAAGCATTTGGACAAACTTAAAATATGTTTGGTCAGCGAAAAAATGGTTTAGTTACGAAACGATTCGTAATAGTCACAATAACATTGGTTGATAATGCTTTAGCACATATGAACCTCCATATAGGAAATAACCACAGTTTTTATCACGAATGAATCCGACAGCTAAGTCTGATTAGTTCGTTAACCAATTAACACAGTTTCCCCACATATCGCAGCAATTTATTTAAAACATTAGTCAACGAGTAGAAATTTTCAGCCAAGTACTAGAGCCTTGACATGATAGCTGATAAGTAACAGTTCTGTGATTAAATATCAAAAATGAATAAAAACTGATGTCAACCTACCAGTAACGCTTCCTTTTAAAAATACACTTAACAATTGACACATACAATAAATGTCGAACTGGTGAAAAGTCTAGTGTCTCCGAATTGTAAATCCAATATCCATTATCTTTTTTCCAGCTAGTATAAATCAATTCTTCGCACTCGATTCTTCTTATTTCGGTTCGGTTCCAGACCTTTGGTAGAGTACAATGAATGGGGTATAGCCACTCGACTATCTAACTCTAGTCAGTTGGAAGTTGTTTGTGAGTTTGTATGTCCTGTGGTATGAATGAATACGTTTGTTTCATGGCGGTAAAGTTTCTTGATACCAGCGACTATCACATTACCAGAACGGAGATCAGTTAGTTGCAATATGGAGAATCGTAAGGAGAAAATTTTAATGCTGATAAGAGTAAGATTTCAGGAATAAGTAAACGATGGATAGTTTAGTTTATCAGTTGGTATTGAATAATGAGTGACAGAACCGAAGTGTCAGCAATCGGGCAGAGATCACGCTCTGAAGAGACAATATGGAGCGGACTTGCATTGAGGGTGTAGGCCATTTGTGATACGGGGCAGAATGTAGATGAAGTGGCATTTCTACTGGTTTAGTTTTAAACCGTTTTTCACTTACCATTCCCCAACAGACGTAAGGTCTTTTCGAGACTATCCAACTAGCGTGCACTCTATGTACCTTGAAGAAAATCTTTCTAGTATCACTGTAGTTTCTGAGCCGAGATAGGAATAGGTCAGAGAAGCCCATTTCCTCAACCTTCGCAATTAGGAGTGCATGGGTGCTGTGTCAAAGGCTTTCGTAAAGTTAGGAAACATAATAAGCACCGGCGTTTTTCTGTCCCAACAGAATGTCCAACTGTCCAATGCTATCGGAAGGTTTGTTGTGCTCGGCCGGCCTTTCCGAAACTCATGTTGAGCTTCATGGAGGATTTTGTTCCTATACATATACTCCCTAATATTTTTGTTCAACAGCCCTTCCACTGCTTTTGATAGTATTGGTAGTAATGTGGCTGGTATGTAACAGGCCGCATACTTCCTATCTCCTCCTTTGAAGTGTGGCGAGAAAGTACCATGTCTTCATTCAACTGGGAGGGATTGTGTGACTCCAGTGAATGCCTGAACAGGTGGCATATCAGTGAACTAAGGGCTTCCGCACATTGCTTCAAGTCTATTTGGCGAATGCTGTTACATACTGGTGACTTTCTGGAGTGCGACGATTTTAATTTTCTTAGCAATAGATCAGGAGTATTACCTAGGACATCAAGTGGTACTATGTCTCAGTAGTACTATGAATGTATGCATACTTGGTCCCATCGATAAATAAAGTTGATGATGAAGATCCCAGATTTTTCTAGGTAGGTAAGATTTTTGCCGTTTGAACTTTTGAGAGCACAAACACCCTGGCTTTTAGGTTTTAGTTTTGTCATGAACCTGAACGTATTCTCAGGTTTTGCCTGTATTTTGGCAGCTAGCTTCATTTGTAAGCTTCTCCTATCACTTCGTACTTTGGTCTCGTATCTGTTTCTCAATCCCAAGTAAGAACTACTGTTGTATCCTTTAAAGCAACTTACCACATGTACCAGGCTCTCCTTTTCGCCTGTAGGAAGTGTCCAGTACCTAGCCTCCCCCAAGTTCTCTTTCCAGGTGTGTGGCAAGCTTGAGGTACGTTGTTTTGGACAGTAACATGGATTATGTTTCTCACTGCCTCCTAGTGGTCGTCTAATGCTAGCCTCCACGATTCCCATAACAATGGTACGTGTAGAATATTTAAGTAACCCTAATGTAGCAAAGGAAGGGGTTTTTTTCTTCCTGCTTGAGTGTTTCGTTTTTGACCGTGGTTTAACAAGACTGAGCCATGGTCACTACTTCCTACTGGTGTGCGGATGTGAACATCCAGGAGATTAATCGTCAACCAATGATCAAACTTTGAGGATCTTCCATCCTTTGACCATCTAAAGGCATTGCGTACATGCTGTCTACTAAGAACTTCTAATGACTACGCCCATTCGTCTTTGGAACCAACCATTAGAGGTTGTACTCTGTTTGCAGAGATTTAGAGATGGAGTGTTAAAATCTTCAGCTAAGAGTGCTCGCACAAACCGAAGGAGTGACAGTTTCAGTATCACCTCAGTTAGTTTATCTTTCTAGGCCTTAGTGCCTGAGGAGGGCCGGAAAATCCTTTCAATCAAGTATTTCAGACAACTTGTGTGGAAACAGCACCAATATGATTCTGTCACCTCAGTTAGTAGTGTGACATGTAGCATTTCGGCTTTAAAAGGGCTGTTAGTATCTGGCAACTCTGCCCTGCAAGCTCACTTCATCGTCTGCAATCTCGGAGGATAGCCAAGGTTCAGTCACGATTATGATCTTCAGATCCATCTAGGTGCACATAGTCCTGATTTCTAACAGCTTCCCTCTCAGTCCTCTTAAACTGTTATAGCGGCACTTCGTGGATTATCTCGTCACCTGGTGAATTTTTGCAGCAACGGCCATTATCGGATTTTCAAACAAATTTTTCAAGGCGAGGTCAACTTTCACCCGAGTGCCCCTATTTCGGCCGCCTTGTTGATGTCTTATTGATCTAGATTGGTTTTCGCAGCACCTGTGTTTAGAGACCGTTCTTCATGCTGCATCAAGCCTAGAGCACCTCTGTTAGGTCTTAATTTCTGTTGTCCACAGTCGTCAAATGTGGTAACCTAGTGGTCGTAAGGTGTGATAGACGAGGCAGCCGGGAAATGCTAGACGCGATGGTGGTGTGGAGACTCATGCTGCGTGATAGCCATCGCTAGTGTGGTACTCCATGCGCATGAGCTTCATCGAAACCATCACTAGTCATTTTCTTTACGTCATGAACGGATGGACAGTTGTATACTGGTCCAAGTAGTCATAGCAACATTGATAGTGTTAGTGAAAGTTGTAGCATAGCTTTAAAGCCTGCATGCCAACTATCTTGCAACTTGTCATTAACTACGAATAGTCAGACCATCGTTGTGGACAACAATAACGTCAAGGCGGAAGTGAAACCTGACGTATCCACTAATAATAGCGTAGTTGATGTGAATAATAAACGTGATGGTAACGATAGTGGAATCACTACAGGTAGTGCTGTTTCTTCGGTTGATGTTGCTAATATAGCTTCCTTGTATACTTCGAATCAAGACGAAATCGGATGTTTGAGCGTGGAGAATACAAGCGTCGGTGGCAATAGCTTAAGCCACAGTGATGGCAGTACTGAGAAGGCTAACATTGAGTATCCTAGGTGCAATGAGGAGTCATCTAGGTTTCATGGACATGCTGTTGTGTTGAATATGCAGCATGAGGAAAAGAGCACGGAATTGTTCACCTGTCGCACTCCACCATCATTGACTTGTACTACAAGTATCAGGATGAGCACTACCGACAGTGATAAGATAGATAAGGCTAAAAGCATTCCTAGTAAGGAAAGCAACGTTGATCGAGCAGACTTAGCCACTGTGCATGAGCCGACTGGATGTCATGAGAAGTGTACTGATGCTTGTACAGCTGCGGCTATTAATGATAATAGCATTGATGATACTCCTGCGAGTAATAGTGATCGATGGAAGTTGAAAGACACTCGTCGTCGTCGAAATGATCGTACGTTACGCTCACATGCTGCTACCCAAGCTAAGAAGCATAGGAAACAACATGATGCTACTATTATTAAGAAGCGTAAACTTCGTTCTCTTTCGGATGCTATGACTAGCAATGGAAATAGTAGTCATCGGAATCTTAGTAGTGACAGCGATAGTAAGGAGACAGAAAGTGTCGGCAGTCCACCCATAGTGACTAGTCGATCAACTTCATCGAACGAACCCTCTAGTGTTTTGACGTCATCGGACCTTGTCGCGAATGTTAAGTTGATTGAGGATACACAAGGTTGTGTAACTGTAAGTGTTCCTATTCCGGTTGACTGTCAGTCGAGTGATGATGAGAAGGAAGCGTCTGATGATAACAGTCAGTCTACAGTGTTGCATGATAACGATGCTATTGATGTGCATATGTCTTGTGTCTCTGAAACGGAACATGAAGAACAACAAGTGAGTTTATCGGTTTTGGATTGTGACACTTATGCTGTTCTTCCATGTAGAGAGATGAGTTATACAACAATGGAAGAGTCTCACTCTACGGATGCTAGTGCAGACCGAATCGACGCAACTTGTCTGACACAATGGAATCATGATGACGATGATAATAATCTGGATGTCACTGATGTGACAAATGAGTTACCGACGATGACGAATGCTGATCAAACCTCCTCTGTATCAGGAGATGGAGAGATAAATATTGGTCCCATTTTATGCTACTTAAAGTCTTCGGGAGACGAGGAAATATCAAAATTGGAGATCCCACCCTTGCATATTATCTATGGGTCAAGAACTTCTGTTGATAAGTCAGCATCACGGACTTCACTGTATCTGCTGTCCGGAGCAAGTGGTGGTGGAATGACGACTCATCCCCATGATATGGAATGTAGTTCCCGGATAGGATATGACCAGCTTTACAACGTGTTGTACATGTTTATATGGGTTAATTGGATAAGGTTTATACTACCGTTAGGTCATGCTACGATAGATAGGGGAATCAAGGGCCTGATGGGAAGGTACAGGTACCTAGTTAGCTTGATAGGTCATATCAATGTTGGAGGGCGGATAGGCGTACTGCTTTAAGTCCTACTCGTCCTTCCGGTGTGGATTAGGGAATGAGAGGGAACCCTAACTTGAAGTGTCAGTATACGCTTGCCTTTTTTGCATGGAGGGATTTTGCGGGCCGGTGTAGAATCTTTTTTGAATGTTTTGTTTTTGGAAAATCCCTACATGTTTATATATTTTTGTTATGACTTGACGGACTCTTTCTGTTGATATTTTGGTACTCTATTTGATTCCATTTTGAGATTTTATCATTGTATATTGTTATTATTGTAGAATTCTTTTTGAATGTTTTGTGTTTTGGAAAATCCCTCCATGTTTACATATTTTTGCTATGACATGATGGACTTTTTCTCTTGAC